TCTTGCTGCTAGTTTGGCATGGAGTCTATAGGCACTGGAGTCTACAGGCAGTCGGGTGGAGTGAGGACTTGGTGTTGAAATCACACTTCCAGGACAGCACATGCAAAGTAATATTCTATGGACCCCGGTTCTCTGGCAGTACAGCATCCCAGACTCAGTGCTCCCACCACAGAGGGACAGAGGTCTGATTCCTGCTGGGGACCCAAGAGTCCACAAGCCACAACTGTGGCCAGAGAAAGGAAGAAAAATAAATAAAAGGAAAGGAAAACAAACAAAACCCAAGACAAATAGTGAAAACATAAGCAGACAGCAAGAAAAACAAAATACAGTCACACACATACAAAGAAAACAGACACACCAAATCCAACACAAATGATAGCAACAAAACGAACTTACAGAAACAAAGATCTAGAGAGAATAGACAAAAAAGGAAACAATCCAAACAAGATAACAAACAAAAGAACTCAAAAATAAGGCTATTAAATAAAGACTAAGCTAACAAAAAGTTGAAAATAAATCAAACAATAGAAAGCAATCTAAAAAAAAATCAAAAGAAAACATAAAGCAAACACATAAAAACAATAAAACATAAAATATAATAAAAACAACTGAACAAAATGAAACAAAGCAAAACAGAACGATAGTAATAAAAGCATTTTCCTGGCGCTTCCTCTGTCAGTGTCCTTGCTCCTACAGAGAGACAGAGCCAACCCCTGCCTCCCCAAACAGCCTTCCAAAACTTCTAGGTAAGTCTCTGGATCTGCTGTGGGCACTGCAGAACGAGCTCAGACTGTGACCTGCCCCAACTCCCATGTGTAATTGCCCCCAAAGCTCACTGCTGAAGCTGGACAATATCAGTGGTAACAGTCATTATCTATTCAGATATTCCACAGACACAGGATTTACTGAGCTGATCACAGGGATTTAACCCACAGCTTCTGCAGCTGCAGGGAGACAACTCTGCTCCTCTTGTTTAGTTGCACCGCCCCTGGGGTTCAGCATTGGTTTGGGCCCCTGTTGTGTGTGTGTGTGTATGTGTGCGTGCCACCCTCAGACATCTGTTCCCCACCCAGAGGAGAGAGAGTGAAAATAGTGTCTGAGTGACACACACTTACTTACTCAGACCAGCGGCCACAGTTGGAGTGTGCACACATTGCCTGTGGTGATGTAGACCAGCAGGCAGTTGCAACAGACGGGGCACACTTGCCTGTTGGGACTCCCTGCCAGTGCCCAGAGAGGCAGGGGCTGGCATGCGGTGTGGGGGCTGTAATGGCCCTACCCTCTGCATGCTACTTAACGATGGTGCCTCGTTTCCTGGGCAGACCGCACTTCCTCCAGTTGACATTCCCAGCCTCAGAGCCTCTCACTCCTGTCCTCTCTGTTGTATCTGTGATCCTCTCACAGGATCCACTCTCTTAACCCCACACTTTAGCATTCAGGCCTCCCAGCACAAAGGTTCTCAGAGCTAATTCCAAAGGTGGCTTTAAGATGGGCGGCACTCAGGACCACTGAACCTACTTGTGCAGAAGAGGCCTTGGCTTGAGAGGTGGGCAAGATGAATCAATGGGAGCCCCTTCCAGTGCCTCTGAAAGCCAAAGAAGTTGACAGGTGAGAAAGGGGTTATGATGGCAGCCCTGCCCTTTACCTGCCACTCAACAATGACACCGAGATTCTGTGGTGTCCCAGGCTTTATCTGCAAACTTTCCCAGCTGTAGAACTCCTTACTCCTGCCCCTTCAGGCTGTCTTTTCACAGCCAACAACGGTTCCCTCCCTGAGTCTTCACTATAAACCCCATGTTCTAGCACCCAGCCTCCCTCTGCCACAGGAGACACATGATTCAGGCAAACAGGAGACACATGATTCAGGCTAGGATGAGCAGGGCTGTGGCACAGACCATGCATGCAGCTCTTAGTCTTGCCATTCACAGACCATCCTCTGCTTTGATCCCCTGAAGGCCCGTTTCTGTCCCAGCTGATTTTCCCACTGTGATGGGCTTTTTCTGAGTTTGAGGGACCTCCCTCCATCTTCAGCTTCCTGTCAGGGTTGCTGGTCACTGTTTCGATTCCTCTTTTCTGTGTTACTTTTTTCATTTTGCCTAATTATGAGTGGATTTTTCTTGTCTTTTTAGGTTTCCAAAGACTTCCACTAATGTTCATCAAGTATTCTTTTGAGAATTACTCCATTTGTAGATGCATATTTGATGTATATATGTGAGGAAGTATGAATTTCACATCCTCTTATTCTACCAGCTTGACTTCTCCTCTTTATTATAATATTTAAAAAATATATAGTAGTCAGTGGAGATTCAGCTGAGCTAAAGGAGAATATTATGTCCTGACTTCTGGAACATGCAAACCTGGTGACTGTTTCAAAGTTTTAAGTGTTTCCTCTTTCTCTTCTTCTTCTTCCCTTCCCATTTATAAAATTACATTCTTGAAAAGCTTCATGTTTTTTTGGCCAAGGCAAATTAGCAGGTCAATTATTCCACTGATTGCAGGAAGAAAAAAGAAAGATATGCAAAGACTATTACTAAATAAAACCACTCTATTTTAAAGATCTAAAACATATTGGGATAGAGTAGAAGAAAACAAACTCATCAGATAAACACTAAGCATGTATTTAACTATTTCAGATGTTTAGTTCTCTGATCCTCTCTCCCCTCCCAACCCTACTCTCAATCACTTGTATGTGGCAGTGTGAGCCTTAAATAGTATCTCACATTCATTTTTGTTTTTATGCAATTTAAGCCTGATATTTACTATTGGAATAAAAATGATTTATTTCCTGGTAAATAATCTTCAGCATGACACAGCATTCTAGGGGACGGTAGGGGTCAGGTGAAAGGGGACATCCTGATTCCATTAACTGTGTTCCCACATTCTATAGTAATATAAAGCCAGCACTGTAACTTTACTCCTAAACCAGATATGATTCCTCGCCAACCACTGAAGAGTGCCCAAGAGGATAGTACAGAAAAGAGGATAGTTCAGCTCCAGCTGAACAAAGGAACTGTAGAAGAACTATTGAGAGCTAAGTCTCTGAAAAGGCATAAATGAAATATTATGCCAGGGCTGGAGAACATGCTAGGGCATTCTTTTTTGAACTTCAGTTATTCTCTAAAAATTCATTATATTTGCCATAATTATACTTCACATATATCATGTAATATTTATATTTTTACTTTAATCACTTTACCCAATCTTCTTGAATTTTTAATTTGATTGAACATAAGAAATGATGTACATGAAATGGCAGATGATATTTTCAAATTATAATATAATACATGTTATATATATTTTTATATGAGAGAGTGACAGACACAGAGAGAAACAGCAAAGAGAGAGAATGAGATTATAAAGGCTGACAATTTCAAACTATGTGCAACTGAAAACCTGTGGAAGGCCATCAGGCAAGAGGATTATCTCACCCAAGAAAGGCTTAGACTTTTGCTCTATTCAGGCTTTCAATGGATGAAGGACTACCCACCTTATAGAGGGCAACCTCCTTTACCCAGACCTCTGATTGAAAGGTGTTGTCTGTTGCTAAGTTTTGTCCAACTCTTAGTGACCCCATGGAATGTAGCCCGCAAGGCTCCTCTTTCTGTGGGATTCTCTAGGCAAAGATACTGGAGTGGGTTGCCATTTCCTTACCCAGGGGATTTTCCTGATCCAGTGATCAAACTGGCATCTCCTCCTTCTTAGGCAGACACTTTACCACTGAGTGACCAGGGAAGACCATCTCATTCAAAAGCATCCTTAGAGAAACACATAGAATAATATTTGACCAATTATCTGGGCACCCTGTACCAGTCAAGATGATTCATAAATTAACTATGCTTCTTTCTGGCACACTGACAAATTTTATGAAGGAAGTGACCAGGAAAGAGATTTATCTAATATATATTCCATGTAATCAGTATGGTAAATCTAAAAAAATGGTTTAAATTACAGTGAAATTCTTATTAATGACTTGAGAAGTTGTATGTGAATGGCAATAAACTTCAAAGACTGAATGGCTCATGATTTCAACTTTCACTGAAAAATAGTTGTTTTATGTCAATACTTCCCAGATTGGGCCTTTCGATATTTCAAAGGGGAAGGATGTCAGAAAATTTGAACAATACTCTGAGATTTTTTCATACAGTGACATAGGACAAAGAGGACAGCTGGGAGAAATTATGTAGGAGTAGGTGGTACATCGTGTTGGAGAATTATGTGCAAAAAGCTTGCCTTCTCTGGTTGGTCTAGAGTCTGGGCTCGGCAACAGCTGAATTACAGTAGAGGATGCTAAACTGTTAGTGAATTCCCTGGGACCCAAGGTGAAACAGATTTCTAAAGGCTGCAAGAATGAGCTTGATGTCTTTTATCTGAGGGAGAAAAGCAGTGAAAGGAGGATCCTAGAGGGTACCACTTTACTTAACATATCTAAGTATTATGATGGGAAGGCTGGAGAGATGATCTGCAACCTGCCCTCAGTCCATTTTAGAAGAAGAAAGGAGACAGATTAGCAGGTCATGGATCAAAGGGAAAACATTATAAGAAGGACTTGAGGTAAAGAAAAAGGCATCACTAGATAGCCAGGCTCTTTTTAACCCAGGATGTACAACAAAATGGCAACCAGTTCAAGTGGAACAAGACAGGCACTTTTATAATTCATGGAAGGTGAAAGGTATCAAGGAGGAATCTTCTCCAATCAAGAAAAGGAGGCTTTGACTCCAAGTTAAAGAACCCAAACAAATCCTCCCACTGCCATAAACCCCTGAAACTGAGAGCTTAAAACAAGGATGCTGTGTGTCATGGGAAGATAATCCAGGGAGGAGATCCTGGAGCAGGATATTTCCTCTTTCTGGAGTCCCCGTGAAGCCACTTATGGACGGATTTGCATTTTGGTTGGGAAATGACTGAACCAGGCCTGTGTGGCAGCTCTGCTCCCTCCTGGGCGGGGCAGCAGGTCCCTATAAAGAGGCCTTCTGCTGCATCCCTGCCATCCTCCTGCTACTCAAGTCCGGATAGGTTTTGGAGAACCTGGTGAGTCTGATCCTTCAGTTCAGCTGTATTCTTGGGCTCTCTACTTATGAATTAATTCTGGCCAAGTAAATTTGGTGTGTGCAAAGTTATTGTCATGACTTTAATGTTCCTTAGTGGATGGAAGCTTGAAATTTGAAAACAGTGATATACAGTTTTTATTAAGTTTCTGGGACAGAGTTTGAATTACTTTATTGAAGAGATTGCAACAAAATCTGTGACAAGAAGAGGTAAAGAATGAAGCACTTTCCCTCTTTTTGTCTTTCCTGTGTCCCTCTGCTGTTACTTAGAGGCATTTATCTTAGAAGGTGTGGGGCCCTTGTATCCTTCCTGGTGGCCTTTTGCTCTGTACACAGGTCATACTTCTGGGACCTCATGATAGATAATGATGATGAGAATTGCTTGTGAGCTTACCTAGGATTTTGGAATATGATGGCCTTTCTTGAAGATGCTATTTCCAGAAAAAAAAGAAGAACCGAACAACATTGATTGGTTCATTGAAAAACATTTTTTTAAAGTTTTATGTAAAAGTAAATATTTTCTCTGAGCCAATAATACAATTTGTTAAAGAGGGAGAGAGAGGCCAGAATTTCATTGGAAGGGATTAAAGAGATCAAACCGCCTTCTTAGCAACTGCAGAGATTCTATCCTATGTTATTAAACAAGCTCAGACTTTTCTCCCTGTAGCAGTTCCTTCTTGTGAACACTGTCATGTAATTTCTTTCAGATTCTAAGACTCCAGAAAGATGTCTTATCAGCAGCAGCAGTGCAAGCAGCCCTGCCAGCCACCTCCAGTAGTGTGCACTCCCAAGTGCCCTGAGCCTTGCCCACCTCCAAAGTGCCCTGAGCCTTGCCCACCTCCAAAGTGCCCTGAGCCTTGCCCACCTCCAAAGTGCCCTGAGCCATGCCCACCTCCTCAGTGCCAGCAGAAATGTCCTCCTGTGCCACCTCCCCAACAATGCCAGCAGAAGTGCCCACCCAAAAGCAAGTAGAAGCATCAGCTTGCATCTGGATCAGGAAAGGATGAGGACAACTGACTCACCTGGCTCCACAGCTCCGCCTTCATCTTCCCTTTAAAGCCTATCATGGATATAGAAGAAGCTTCTCCTTCCTTCCTTCAGCCTGCAGTATGTCTGTAATGATTCCTGACAAACAGAGGTTTCCTTCCTGAGGCTGCTGTTCTGCTCTCCTCTGGGAGGACAGCTGGGAAATCATCACAGAGCTTCAGATGGAAGAGCAGCAGCTTTTCTCCCAGGCACCATCAGAGGATTCTCTCCATCCCTTGGGTCTGTCTGTCACCTGGGTAGGGGTTTCTACCAGCTGGTCAACTGTTGTTTATCCTCCTCTTCATGAATAAACTACAGTTCCTTTATGTGATGGCAAAAATGTTTTCTTTTCAAAAGTTTTTAGTAATACCATATCATCATCTTGTTTTCTTTCTATCCTTTGATGCCAAGGTTCAAGTTCTCACAATCAGCGTTGTCTAAATTTTGAGTCTTATCAAGGAATGCTCCTACATAATTTCAATTCCATGTTATATCGTTAATTATCACTTGATGGTTTGAGGATGAAAATATTTATCTCTCCAGGTTTTCAGTCCCTTTAGTAAAATGTAGGGAAAATTGTATTTTCATTCCCAATATCTGAGGAATCAATATCCAATGAATGTCTATAATTTAGTTGGGACATGCCAGACTCATAAATAGCACTTGGAAGACAGTTCGGTTCAGTTCAGTGCAGTCACTCAGTCGTGTCTGACTCTTTGTGACCCCATGGACTGCAGCACGCCGAATTTCCATGTCCAGGTCCTCATTGTCTCCATCATCACCACCGTTACCAGCACCTCTGTTATCCTCACCACCATATTAGCTCCAGAAGGATAGTAGCTCAGAAGTAGCTTGTTTCAAAGAAGTAGTTTCTTAACACTGTACTGTACTTTCATATTCTGTTTTTTCTTTCCTTTTCTAATTTAGCCACACTTTTTAGATGCTATTGCTGATAAAGGGCTTTTGGAAATTAATGACATAGTCTGCATAAGGTTATAGTAGTTCTTAAAAGATTGGTAGTACCAAAGAAAGGTAAATATAAAGGATACTTACTAGGTAAGGTGCTGCCTCCCCCCATGTGTACCACCTTACATATTTTTTCACATCTGAAATTGCTTTCCTGATATTCTTGATCCCACCTTTGAAGATATTTGAGGTTTACAGTGTACACTGAGATTTACAAAGTCACTATTGCTAGGCAGCTTAGTGTCTCAGTGCTTAGCTGTGAAAGTGAGCTGTGAAAAAAGGTAATCTTTGTTATTCCTTCTTGTGGCCCTAAGTGTCCACAAGTCAAATAGTTCATTCAGATCTAATACACACAAGCACATACACACACACACACACACACTAAAAATAACATTATTCTTAAATGTAACCAAGTCTTCAAATCAAATCATTCTATACCTATACACAAGATAGATTCAATCTTTCTCTTTCTACAGTCTTCATTCACAAACCTAGAAGTAAAGGACTCTAAAAATATAGAGCTATAGATGGAAAAAGATACCCAGATTATTGCTCAATCCTCATTAGACTATGACATGAATAAAAAAAAAAAAAAAACACTGATATTTGGGATCTGTCCCTACTGTAGCTAGTGTTATTTGACCTAACACAAAAATTAGTTTCCTGAGGTGGGATGCTACTGTAACAAATCTTAAAAATGCAGCCTTGACTTAGAAATTTGCAGGTGGTTGGCAAAGAAACATATTGGAGACCATAAATGTGATGATATGTGTTATTCAAGGGCAAAAAGTTTGAAAAATGACTTGCGAGGTTGAGCATATGTTGGTTATTTGTTGTATTGATCAGGTTATTTTGATACACATATGTTCAGGAAATAGTTGTCTGGTTTGCAAACCAGAAATGAAAAAAATGGAAAGAAAAATGTAGCCAAGATATTTAAAAACTTGTTGAACTAGAAAGCTCACCAGTTGTAATCCCCAAAGAGGAAGAGATGTGATTTTACATGGTTTTGAAGTTTGCATCCACTTCCATTTGACTGTAGCAACATAGAAAAGAGAAAATTTGTAGTCTGTCCATCTGTGTGCCAAGGAGCCCCAGTGGTAGCTCTATTATGTTCAGAGGAAAAGGCAGCAAAATAAATCAAGCCAGAAAATTACTTCTAGGAAAGGACCTGACTGTGGTATCTAGAACACAGAATGGTTGGAGGAATGAAATACATTAGATGTCTAATAAGTTTTTGAGGAAATTGATGACTAAATATACGATATGCCAAAACTAAAGAGACCTTGATTTTTCAGTAATAGAAACAACTTTCCATCCCTTCTTTCCCCTGTTTCCGCACTACCCATTTCAGATGTGGTCCATGCAGGTGACTAATGGGAATAACCACTATGAAATGGATACAAAGCCCACAGAGAATAACTGATGAGGGAAGCTCTCTCAGAGAATAGTATCAGAGCCTAACAGAGGCAAGGAGGAGAAGGAACACAGAAATTCTCAAACTTTGTTGCTCTTTTGTGTGATGGTTATTCTTTCATCTTTCCCCCTACAGCCTTAGTCAGGCTGACAAATTAAAATGTATATATTTACGGTGTATAACGTGATGATTTGATATATAATGTATACATTATACATGATTTGATGTATAATTGTATAATGTGATGACCTATGCATACTTTGTGCAATGAGTACCACCATCAGCTACTTAACATGTTAGTTACCACAACAGTAATCATTTAAATGTGTGTGTGAGTGCACATGGGTGTGTGTGTTTGATGAGAATGTTTAAGATTTACTCTCTTAGCAAGTCTCAAGTGTACAACAGTATTATTAACTAGACTCACCATCATTTACATTGTCTCCCAGAGCTCTTTCATCTTATAACCGAAGCCTTGGACCCTTTATCCAGCATCTCCACTTTTGCCTCACCCCTCAGCCTCTCCTAACCACCGTTCTACTCTCTGCTTCTGTGATATATATGAGTTTGGCAACACATTCTTAAATAACTGATGGCTCAAAGAAGAAATAATAAATAAAATTGCAAAATAGTTTTGGAGGAATGAAAATGAAGGTGCAGTATATGAGAACTTCAGTGATACATGTAATGCAGTGCATAGAGAGAAATTAGTGGCTGAAGACATCTATATTAAAAAAGATCAAAGATCTCAAATCAATATATCAGTATCCTTATAGACATGTATACACAGGTGTGGGTTTATGGAAAATAAAAAATCTTAACACAAAATATAGCAAAGTATTATCAATGTTTATTTCTGGCAATTTGATATTGGTGGTCATATGATGATGATATATAACATATATGATGTAATTTTATTTTTATAACTTCATGATAATAATTTTAAAAATACTTAGTAGTGAGATGTTGCTAAGCTAGAGGAAAATGATATATATTGGCCTTCTGGGATATTGCTGATGCTCTTTATGCAATCCCATATGAGTAGTCCAAGGGAGCCATCCACTTACTTATTGGAGCATCCCCTGTGTGTCTTCTCCCTATAATTCTCATCTCAATTCTCAGCCTTCTGGTTAGGGACCACACATTTTACCTCTACACTCCTCTCACACTCACAGCCCAAAGGTTTCAAACCCTGATCACTGGACTGACAGTTGATGCCAGTTGAGATTTAAAGGAGGACTTGTTTCTTCTTGTCTCGTCTCCTTCTCCTTCCTCAGCTCCTCTCCTCTCCTGTGATGTGGCAAAATTATCCTCAACTGTGCAGAAAACTTAGAGAATTATACTGGTTCACAGGAGGAACTTGGAGTTCGAACTATGCACCACTTGGAAGACTTCAAATCCACAGCCTGGTAGCTGATATAACAAATAGAGAAATGCATATTTTGTTCAGTTTCATGGTTCTTCCCTTTTTCTGCATTGCCATTTTTTTTTCTTTGTACAGGACAATGACCTCCATGATTCCCGGGAAAAATCATTCCTTCTGGTTCAGATAGTGACTGAGGGAGTTTTCTGTAGGTTCACATTCCTGACTCAGAAGAGTCTTGTGGTGGGTTTAGTGCAGCCACATCCCACATTCTTTTCCAGCCTCCAACTTAATTTTCTCAGGTTTCTCCCCTTTCTTCTGCCTGTTCTCTTTTGTGCTTTATATTCAACACCCTCACCCTATACCCTTCCACAGAACCTGGTGGCTTTTGCACAGGCTTTGGGGTCTTGTTAGCCCCCTCTGACCCTCAACACATTTGCAGGCACAGCCATTGGATGAGCTGCCGTTGACACCAAATGATCCTTCACTTCCTACACCCCTGTTCTCTTCACATCCATGCTTGCTAGATCACCTCTGACTTCACACTGCAAGCATCATGAGGGCTGGAATCTTCTCTGCATTGCTCAAGGCTGCAACCTTCTCTATCTTGTTCAGGGCTGTAAGCTCAGATCCCAGCCTGCTCCCTATCAAATAGTAAGAGCTTATCTAATGTCTGTTGAGTTGCTGAATGATTTATACCTTTACTGACTGATGCTACAGACTTCTCCTTTCCAGGCAGAAACTTTTCTTCATGGTCCAGCAAAGTAGGAAACACACATTTCATTCCTATCCACCCCTACCAAAATCCAATTTTCAATAATGGAGCAGGAGTTGGATAGCCTCAGTAAGAACTTCCATGGGGGAAAAAGAGAGGAAGGGAGATAGATAATCAGTATCTAATCCACATAAACTCTGAAATACCTCTTAAGAAGCATGATGAAGTCCACCCTCTCATTAGAAATAATGAGAATTTTTTTCTTTTAAAAACTTTTTCTTCTAGTATAGTTGATTTACAATGTTGTGTTAGTTATAGGTACACAGCAAAGTGATACATATACAACTATCTATTCTTTTCCAACTATTTTCCCATTTAGGTTATTACAGAATACTGAGAAGAGTCCACTGTTGGTTATCTATTTTAAATATACTAATGTGTACATGTCAGCCTGAGGTTCACAATCTATCATCTTCCAAGCCACCCTTTCCCCCTGGTAACCATAAGTTTGTTCTCTAAATCTGTGACTGTTTCTGTTTTGTAAATAAGTTCATTTGT